TCGAATGGACGGAAGATGTCGTCGACATAACCAAAATCACAACCCTTCTCCAGCGGTCTATTCAATCCAATTTTAGAGGCAACCTGGGGTGAGATGCAACATTTCGTCAAGGAGAAAATCGAACGGGAATGACGAAAAAAGCCACTCTTGGAGAACCCTGCTTTTGGTGACGAAGGAGAAACTTCTATAAACTTTCATTCAACCAGAAGTATGCGAATACAGTGGACTTCGAAAGTAAACATACTTTAGGTACACCCTTTAGAAAACAGCAGAACCGAAGAGTTCAGACCCCCTTTCGGATCAAGGAACACAGCAACCGCTGGTCGATTGTGTTTGTGACTCAATACTTTATTTCACACCACTATGATGAACAGCAGACAAGGCAAACACCGTAGTCACAAAGACCTACTATTTAGTGATGACAACTGGCAACGTAAGCCCCAGGACTTGAAGTGGCAAACCGCATAAGGCCCCGCTAGATCAGATGTGGTATTGAACTGAACGACAGCAGAGCTGCCTACTACCAATGATGGGTGGTGGGGCTCTGACCATGGGGTCCAAAGCATCCGGGTGACAGCGACTAAACCACTGCGCCACCACCACCCAGGACTTGAGGCGACATTAAAATTCAATCAATACAGATGCAACCACTTTGGGATTTAGTCTGCTGCTCTCCTTTCGAAAGCGTCGGATGGAAACTAACACTTTGGAAACGAATGGGATTATATTTCTCTTCTGGTGGTTTCCGAAATCGTTGGGATATTTTGAAGAAAAGACTGAACGATTCGTGATTCAAACTAAGATGGAACACGCTCCTGCAACCAGATGCTGTATAGTAAGTCAGTGACACAGCCCACCTGGTTTTCATCCCGCATCTAGAATAAAAAGCGAAGCTCCATCAGATACAATCGTTTTCTATCAGCTAGGAGCTTGAGTGTAAGTTCTTACTTCTGCTTCAACCGGAGGACTATATGGCACTGCCCATGGAGCTACAGCTTCGACAAACGAGGTGACCTGCCGCTAGCCAAATCAGACAGCCTACCAGCGATCGAGCCGCTGATCCTTGATTTAAATAACTGGCCCAGCTTCAATGGAGTTCCGTTACTTAACCAAAAGATTCAGTGTTGCGTATCAGTCGAAACAGTTTTCGACTATTTCCTGATGCAATGGCTACTTTCATCTCATTTTTTGCTTTGGCCCATCAGCTTTTGAGGTTCTTTAGGAGACATTTAGTGAGCTCACGTGGCAGAGAACACATATATGTGCATTGTTCCTGAATTTTCGCCATTTATCTGTTTGTGAGAGATTCACAAGTACACCACGTTGGACTTTTGACCCGATCATATTTTCCACCTACTACGCCACGATGCAGAGCTCTTATTTCGTACCTTAGCGGAC